ACTCGTCATGGGCAGTGAGCGTTACTATTCAACATGACGAGTTTTGTCGTCATGGGCAGTGAATGAGTTAATATACAATTATTTGCTCAAAAGTTGCCCTTTTTTTCCAATTTGCGTTTGAATATCTACATTTATTCTCATTCTTCTGTTTAATGGAATGCACAAACACAGCAGCGTGCCATCAAAGATGGCGTCTCCGAGGAGGTCATGTGACATTCATTGGTCTGTGGGAACTATGTATTAGCATTTAGTTTTGCGGTATTTCAGTGTATGTGTTGAGTGTATTACTGTATTGTTTTAACCAGTTTTACCTCATACTAAAGGTAAAACCCGTTGGAATTACTTATTTGACATAAAAGTGGCGATAAACTAAAACTGGGAGTTGTAGTAGTTTCAAAGAATTCTGGGAGTCCTAGAGTTAAAGGAATACAGTGAAATATGATCATTAAATTAAAAACATGGTGAGAACATTGCTTTAGATGTGGGGGAGTGTGTCTGTATTGGTAACACAAACACAACTAGCGTTAAATAAACTGTCGTTACGCCCATGTTATGCCTCGTGGGAAGTGCATACCTTGTTATATAAATATGTAAGTCGTATATAAATATTAGCTTGCAACACTCTCAAAACAGAACACGTGGAACCTCAGCAGATGATTTCTGAGTTACCCCTGTGAGCTGGAGAAGTTCAGACACCAGCACCGGAAGCTTCAACGCAGCCACACTTCCGGTCACCCCGACGAGGACATTAAACGCTGCTCTGGATGGATCTAAACCTAAACTCTCTTTTGCACATGAAGCTGTCTCGTCTGCCTGCATTATCGCCTTTGCTGCTTTGAAAATGTCCTGGAATGGGTCACCAGATTTGTAGAAACCATGAAACCAACCTGAGAAATAAGAAAGAGTCACATGCTAACCTAGTACTCACAGTCTATGATGCTAACATAACACATGAAACATTTACAACTTCAATCATGAGCTGCGTTAACATAAATGTGATCGGAAGGTGCTTATCTTGGGACTAAACAGTTCTGTCAAAATGTGTAAGCAATAAAAGCCTAAAGGAGTTATAAAAAGCGGACCTGGCAACGCTTTTGTTACACCACTTCCGTAAACAATGACAGCAGCCAATCAGCGCTCCGGACTTCCAACCGGACACAAACCCGTTTTTATTTTATTTTATTTTTTATTTTCAAAGAATATACAGGCATACAGACCAATCAAAACGAAGAAAATTCAAGATGTATTTATTAATAATATTTAAATAAGAAACAGGAAACAAGATTGAAAGCTAGCCAGTCGGACACGAGCACGTACCTCTGACAGCTTGAGAGCGCGCACGTTTGGACTTTAGAATATTCTGGTTGGTAACGATTCTATGAGTGTGTGAGCGCAATTTGGTGTTTAACCCCTTAAGGATCACCCTCCCTGTACAGGGAGGATTCAGTTATTTTTCATTTAACAGCATCAGTATTAGAATTCACTTGTGTCAATATAGTCAAGCTATATCTCTTTTGAAAGGTTATTCCCACCTCTATACACGTATTATGTTCAAATAAACATTAAATATAACCAAAAGTAAGAATAAGTAGTCAAACTGTATATATATTTAAAATATATATTGTCCTTTCTTACCTTGTCATGCTAATATTCTGGGGCAAATCACGTCTAATCCACACATGTGTGAATTCGTTTTGTTCGTTAGGGTCTAGAGAATAATTATATCCAGTTGTTTTTTCTTCAAAGTCATCCTTATAGTAGATATCCACTTGCAACAATATATTTGAGTATTGAAAGTTGCACAAACAAAAACAAAACCTGTTCTTTGCGCACTGTATGAAGAGGACATTTTACTGTTTACCTAGCGTCACTGGGTATGTTCGTCTTCCCCTAAGCCTCCCCTTCAAAACAAGCCCATTCCCGGACTTTTCAGTGCTATGGTTTGGAAGGTAGAGTAAGTTGAGTAAAACAAGCGCACCTAGCTTTAGCGCTCCATTCACATAGATATCTGTGCGTCAAGACAGCATTGTCTTGACTACCATTGGCCGATTTGGATGTCAATCAAATCATCTTGTAGCCAATAATCTCAGGTTTCAGGCGATGTGTCGGACTTCTAGTTTCCTCCCACTGTTCCCGTCATATTTGAATGCGTAAAGAGGAAGACGGAGCCTTTTTCACGGAGAACACGCGCTATAACTATATAAATAATAGTTTTTCTGAAAACATTTCAATATCTGGAAAAAATGCTATTTATAGCAAGAATAATAGCCAAAAAAATATATAAATGGATTTTTGGTGTAAAAACATTGATAATTTGCATGTAAAACACTTTGGCACAGTTGGCACAAAAATGGACCACTTGTGCCGAATGTGCCCATTAGTTACAAAAAAGGCCCCAGCATCAAAATAGTTCCACCTAAAGGTCTAAAATTTCATACAGGTGTTTCCAACACCACGAACATCTACTCTGGTGAGTTTGAACATCATACCATAAAGTATGTCTTCAGGAGAACCTTTTGAAATTGCCTTCTTTTTTTTTGACAAAAAAAACTAACTTTGACTCATGTTTGAGAAGGTGTAGTGCAGACTGGGTCCTTCCTAACAAACTGTAACATACATTTTCAGAAACTAGAAGGTGTTACCTTTCAAATGAGGCCTCATAACACAACATCAGACACAAGATGTCCACACAATAAGCATTTCCATTTGGGTATCATAATTCGAGAAGGAGCAGGCGAAATTAGGTGATCCTTAAGGGGTTAAATCTAATAAGTTTTATACAATTCTAGGGAAATATGTCGCTCACGCCGCTTGTTTATTGGGCTCAGCGACACGGAGAGGTTTATCTACGCGTGGAGCTGACAGACGTAAAAGTAAGCGCCTCTGATTCCCATTTGTAATTGTTTTATTGTAACATACTTTGTCATTGTTTGTTGCAGAATATTGAAGTTCACGCAAATGAGAATGTTCTGGAATTTCGAGGTAATAACTAAAAATGTGG